TAAAAAATGTGAAAGCAAGCTGATTGTTAAAATTAAATCCTTATTTTTATCAAGATAATTAATTTAAAAAAAATGTTTTATTGAGATATATTTGTAATTTATATCTTTAAATCTTGATTCTGGACAGTTCATCAATGATTGCATATATTAAATATTAAAAGGTTTATTTTCTATTACAGTAGTCTTTATTAAAGATTCCTAAATCAGTAATCTTTAGAATAAAATCTTCATCCATCTCCTCTCATAATGTAGTTCTTGAAACAGATCTATTAGAAAAGCAGAAAATAATACACAAAATAATAAAAAGGTAATTGTGTTTACATATAAACATTCAGATGTATTATATTGAATCATGTTATTAACATTTATACATTTTTCCTAATACATTAAAAATATATACTACTTTATTATAATAAATAGTGTTAAAGCAGGGTATCTTGAGTCCAAGATTTTAATCATCTGACCTGTTTATCAATTTTAGGTAGATTATCTAAATAAATAAATAAATAGTTGCTTGCCTAAAATATTTTATACTTTTTTTATTTGATACACAACATTCATCTCCATATGAACTTTCCCATTACACTCTAAAAAATGCTGGGTTATTTCAACCCAACTTTGGGTCAAATTTGGTCTAACACAACTTTTGGGTTACAAATGTAATGTCAAAATTGAACCCAACAGCTGGGTTAGTCCATATTTGACCCAAAGTTGGGTTGAAACAACCCAGCATTTTTTAGAGTGTAGTTATAATTAGCAGGTATTTTGCTGGTTGATGTGCTCTTTACACTTCAAACAATACTGAAATTACTCCTTGTAAATAAATAAATTACCTGATTGTTTATTTCTCTTCAGAATTGACTGTGTTTTCACTGTGTGATTTACAGTGGTTTTCTTAAACTCATCAGAGCCAGAACCGGAAAGATCATTCAATAACAACGACATTCATTTAGAGTTACAACAATCACCAACAGCCTTAAGAACTCTGTGGTCAAACACTGGGCATCTTATTTTAAATTATTATTATTATTAACTAACACATAATCTTCTTAGTCTAGGTTAAAAAGAGTATATATAGAGAGCTGAAGTTAAGAGAGCTGAAATTCACTCTCCTACAGACAACAACAGAAAGCAGTGGACAAAGTGAAGGCAAACTGATTTATTGAATAGATATAGTTGTGCGTTTGTTGGCACTGAACAGGTGTTTTAACAGGTGTTAAGAGTGAGAATCAGCATTCTGACAGTGTCTCGAGTCTGTAGATGGAAACATCTCATCATCTCTCAGACAGATTTATGGAGACGATAACAGAGAAATACTCACAAATATAAATCAATAAGACACTACAGAGCCTTTACACAACACAACATTACACACTGACAACCCTAACCCAAACAGAGAAAGACTGAATTAAAAAATATATAACACGCACTGTAATTAGTAGAAATAATTTAAATACATGCACATGTATAGATTTTTTTAAGGTACAGTGCACATGCATTCTCTTTAGTCGTGTTTATAGAAATAGTAAACTCATGTTGTTTTGGTGCAGGACAATGAGCTCTTAGTTTAGCACAGGCTTTATTGATCCAAACTCAGCTGAGAGGAAAATGTCATGCGACTAATCAATCTGGAGATTCAGGACAACTAAACCATGGCAATATGTACTTAATATTGCCATGATATAATATATTTCTGAATAACAACAGTCATCTTCATAATACATTTCTAGTAGTAGTTTAAATATTTAATTTCAGTATGCGTTCCTTTCAAAAAGGGAAAGACACCTTTTTCTCTCTATCTATCCATGTCAAATGATCCATTTTTGAATTTTTATTATTATTATTATTATCATCATTTTTTTCCTAAAAAATGTGAAAGCAAGCTGATTGTTAAAATTAAATCCTTATTTTTATCAAGATAATTAATTAAAAAAAAATGTTTTATTGAGATATATTTGTAATTTATATCTTTAAATCTTGATTCTGGACAGTTCATCGCGAGCTTCTCATATATAAACTCTTCATATCTTTCATTAACAAGATCACACCACTTAGAAGTAAAAAGTGAATAAACTCTTTCACTAATTTCCTCACTAGCGTTCAGTTCTATCTTCATTCTATCAGCCTGTTCTTTTCCAAAGTTCTCGAACTCATCTAATGTCATTTCTTCACTGGGAAATTCAATTGTAACTTTATGTAGAGAAGAGATGAAGTTCCTACGTTTTTCATCTATTATTTTCTTAATTTCTGTTGTGATATAGTTTTTGATAATTGAACTGTTGTTTTTTAAATTCTCATCATTGCCTCCTTTTGAATATTTAAATTTAGATCTACAGTGTTTTTCGTTAACTTTATTCTTCAATCTGGATAATCTATGTTTAATTAAAGTATCTGGTCCATGGCACAGTTTCTTGAGTTCATCTACTGTCTTAGTATTATTCCCTGTTGCACCATAAATGTCCTGGAAGGTAATATAAACCTTTATTTTATGATGATAAAACATTTCTTCAGAGAACCGAGCTAGCTGAATCATACAAGGATCATGTTTTTTTCTGCCTAAACACGGACTGTATTTTGTAAATATATAAATCTCCTTTATAGTGTGCTCTTTCCCTTTAATTGTTTTGTTTAAATCACACATACATTGATCTTCACTGTGAATTATATCAACATATTTTGTTATGGAAATATTTACTGGTTTAAAAGGTCCGATTAATATAGGCGGTCCTGTTTTAAATTCAATCACTGCAAATCCAGACTGACTGCTAATTAATTCATTCTTATCGATTTCAAAATCCCTTATAAACCCTAAAATCTTAAAAGATATATTGTGATTTTCAGAAAAAGAGGAATATGTTGGAAATAAATAAGAATACAAATAAGAATAATACATTCTATCAATTATAATTCTAACACTCTGTTCTCTATTACACAAATTAATAATCTCCATGTTGCCATATTCATCTCGGCTTATCCACGGCCCCGGCTCCAACAACCTGACAAAACATTCAGAGTGAAAACAAACGTATAAACACACCAATGACTGCAGATGAGCTCATTCACTTAACACAGTTAATAACTGTACAGAGCCCATGGGATTTCACATTCATGTTGTACATCTAATAGTTCCAGGTTAAGCTATTCGTTTGCTGATCAGGTTATTTCATCCTTTAAACTCACATAATCAGGCTGAACATATTGTGTAATTGTTTATGTAACTATACTATATATTCCTCTATCAGTGGTTTACCTTCGCCCCCCACATTTATTTTACTCTAATACACCATCAGCTGATAACATTTGACTTTAGCTGAATTCTGAATAGAGCACTACTCTTACTACTCGTAAAACAGTGAAGACTTTGGATGTTTTCTTGGTCAGACTTGTTGCTCCAGATGCGTTGTCACACTTGAATCATGGTGCAAATGGTACCAGACTACAGCTTTTTTTTTCTTTAAATTGGGAAAGCCCTAACAAATATGTTCATTTCAAATCAAAAAGTTCAGTTTCGAAAGAGCTCCAAATGAAAGTGCACAGTATGTTCAAAAGAAGTCACAGAACGTCCTGAATTTAAAGCAGTGAAGGTGAACGGAGTCTGTGTGTATCGTGTAACATCTTACCTTCTGAATCTAAGTAGCAATCTTTTAATCTATAACAGAAAAGACAAACCAGCATCAACTGTTAGCATGATTTTTTTAAAGTAATGCAAACCTCAAACATCAATCATTATTACGGTATTTAAAATGTAGAAGTAATACAATCCTAAACTCATTCAAGCTCACCATGGCTCTTCCCTCAAAAATCCCTGGGACAGGAGGACCCAAGAGACTCTGAAAGACACGTCCAGTTAGATGGAGGTGTTCTGTATGCCGGCCTACAGTACAGTTCTCAGCCAATGGACTCTTACAGTCTCTCAGATTTATCGTGTTAGTCCTCCTGCCCCGGCACTTGAAGTTAGATTTTTGGATCTTCTCTTCCTTAAAGGCGGCGGGTTTGTGGATCATGTGTTTGTCTCAAAGCTGACAAACTCATTTATAGCCCGATTTAGCCCATCCCTTTAAGGTGTGACATTTCAGTTTAGTGAATGAAGAAGACAGAAAATCATATGCCTGCCAAGGGTATAAGAAAAATCTGACGTGTCATGTGTGTCACTGATTTCACAATCCTGATCAGCACAAATAGCACTGTATCTCCCCTATTCAAAGTCCGGCTAACTTTCTTCTGAACACAACCCTATGAAACTGAAACATAAGATCCAGTGATGCCATTAATATGTCATCGAACACACCAATACATGAGCCGTCCCTCTGTGTGTTTCTCTATTTGTTTAAACTGTACTATTGTTCTCATGTTTCTCCAGAGGCCTCAGATACGCTGAGTGTTTCTGTTTCCTATAAAGTGAAACTCACACACGACACACCCTGTTGCTCTGAACACATTTCACTAATGTAAAGAATCTGTGCTGATCATCTATTATGAAGAAATCATGACCTCATTCATGTGATCCTGATATCAGTCAACGAAAAAAATAGTTCAACAAAGTTGCTGAAAATTTACTGCTGTCAAAATCAGCGCATGCAATGAATTTTTTCAGTTTAACGCTGTTAAAAATATTTATCGCAGTTAACACAGGGCCGGGGTAGGGTTGTCCACTCCACTCACAACTGCTGCTTCAGTCTCTTTTTTCTGTTCTACTGTGCTCGTAGTGCGCACATGCAGTGACGCGCTGGATTTATATTTTCATATTACAGTGCGAAATAAACTACGAGCATGCAATGTCGTAGTTATGTAGTCGATTAAAGCTGCCTTAAAACTGTGCATGTATGTAAGAATTTGTTATAGTCTATATAAGTCACACATTAAGAATGCGTGTCAGAACCGCATCACATTCAGCAGCAGCTGTGATGTCTGTTCATCAAAAAATTAGGAAATCAATAACTTTTATAGCTTTAAGGTTTCATCTATATCTAAGTTGGCATTTAGTGTTTGATAACTTTATTCAATTTCTGTATATTTCCTGCTTGCTGAAGGGTACAGGTAAGTATGACATTTATTATAATGGGTTTATGTGATGATTAATTTGTTCACTTAAATTAGTTGTCATTATTAAAGTCTAATAAATGTTCAAATTGATAGCCCTCAATTATACTGTAATTCTGAATGGCTATAGTCAATGGTTAAACATTAGGGGGGAAAAATCAATTTCATAGAGACATCAGTAGTATTGGAATCAGTGATACTGACCTTCAGTCATAAAAAAAAGATGCCATTAAACAAATATTGGTAAGTATGACATTTATTATAATGGGTTTATGTGATGATTAATTTGTTCACTTAAATTAGTTGTCATTATTAAAGTCTAATAAATGTTCAAATTGATAGCCCTCAATTATACTGTAATTCTGAATGGCTATAGTCAATGGTTAAACATTAGGGGGGAAAAATCAATTTCATAGAGACATCAGTAGTATTGGAATCAGTGATACTGACCTTCAGTCATAAAAAAAAGATGCTAAAAGATTTAAAAATCTACTGTCTTTATTGCTTCTACATTAATGTGAAGATTGCATGTGAAATTATTGCAATATCAATGCATATTTAAAAACTTTAATGTTAGGTGGGATTAATCACAATTAATTTCAGGACAAATGTGCAATTAAGTATTATTTATTTTCAATCGATTGACAGCACTATTAAAAAATATAATATGCAGTCCTAGCTGAGAATCACAATGGGGGAAAAGCCACATGTTCTGTTCAAATCTGATGCTGGATGAAAAATCAGATTCATGATTAACCATTTAAACACTTTCTTTATAAAAAAAACTGTCTTTATATTAACTAGTTGCTTATTAGAATGCATATTAGGCCTGCTAGTGTATTGGCTGTATAACGTTGCAGAAGCGAGAGAAGGCAGGCAGAGATGTAGATCTAAGCACAGGAGTTTAATCAAAGCTCAGGAACAAACAAGTGTTATGTGATATGATCTGGAAGGTGTATAATTATGCAGGCCTGCTGTGACGAGTGTTACTGGCTAATGGCAATACAGCTGCTTATTTATGTGCTTATTGATCTTTACACTTCAAACAATACAGAACATATTTATTGTAAATAAATAAATGTTAAATTAATGCTATTTTTTGTTCGAAATCACACATCACACTGTTCCCACATAAAAATGAATCTAGACCAAGATTAAATGAAAACAAAACACTTTTTTAAATGTAATATTATATTTTTTTCATTTTGATCACATACATTCACCTATAGTACACAACCATGATCCGCACTCACATGAAACAGTCTTTTCTTTTTGTTTTATTCTACATTTATCACCAATAGGACAAGGACACAGAAGTTTCGGCTCAAAGGCCTTCTTCAGTGTGTTAAACACTACAAATCCTCCACCCACTTTTTAAATCACCAACTTGACGTCATCATTCATTTACCAATGTTCATTCATTTAAAGCTTAAACAACTTGCATTTAAATATCTTACCCATTATCATAACCACCACTGCACTACAATATACCTCTTATTCAAACGTAAATTACCTCGGATTTCATTGTTATCATTCTTGTATAAACTAGCAGCTAAAATAAACCATCAACAGTATATACTTATAACAATGGAAAATTCCATGATTAAAATCATCAGACATACTGTACATCGTCATTAATAATCACTTATTTTCACACTGAATGGTTGAGATCAACGCCACAAAATATCACATATTGATTCGATCGATTATTAAAGGAACACAGAGAGATCCAACTCCTCATTCATGCCATTTGGAGAAAGTGATTTAAAGGGGTCATATGATGCTTTTCAAGCCGCGGTTAAGACAGCTGACTCCACTGTGATGTGACCCCCCCGCCCTCTCTCTCTCTCACACACAGCGTCTCCCTGACATGCTGCTTCAACACTAACTGCGGTTACTGAAACCACGCCTTCTTTCTTTGCGTGCACATTTGGGCGCATTATGCTAATATTTCCACATAGTGAGGTAGACATGTGGGGGCGTGTTAGAACGAGCCGTTTTAGGGGGGCGTGGCAGAGTCTTAACTTTGATAAAGAATATCTCTTTGGTTTTGAGACTTTAGTCTTTGCAACTTCAGGGATCTTATCTATGCACAATCAGCTTGTAACACTCCAAAGAGAAAGAACAACTTGAAATCGCATCATATGACCCCTTTAAGTTTATAGATCCAAAATGCTTCTCGTTTCAATAATTCTTTATTTATATTACCTCCTCTGCGTGATCCAATAACTTCCTCTATACCTATACATTCCAATTATTTGATGTCATGTCCCAATTCATTAAAATGTCTGACAACTGAAGAAGTTATGTCTTGTCGATGTATACTTGATTTGTGTTCACTGATTCGTAATTTCAACTGACGCGATGCATCACCTATGTATATATATATATTTTGACAAGGACATTTTAACATATAGATCACATTACGAGTCGAACAGGTAATACAAGATGTCATTTTAAAGCATTTTCGTGTTATTGGACATATGAACTCTCTACACTTTACCAAATTTCGGCGCGCAGCACAATTTCTGCACGGAAAACATCCTTGTGTAAAAGCAGACTTTTTCCTCCTTACTACATCTGAGTTGATCAGCATATCTGATAGGTTACGTGATCTTTTAAAGGTAAACGATGGGTAATACTGAAATCTGTCATTCAAAGATGTATCCGATGATAATATATGCCAATGTTTATAAATGACTGATTTTATCATATTACTGTGCTCATTGTATGTTAATGAACAATTTACTGAGAAATTTCGTTGTTTTTTAATGGGTTTATCTATTTTCAAAAGATCATGTCTATTCACTTTATTCACTTTATCTAATGCATTATTTAACCAACTTTGTGGATATCCTTTAGAACGAAAACGTTGAAATAGTGATTTTACCTGTTCATCAAATTCATGTGTAGTTCTACAGTTACGTTTTAATCAATACAGTTGCCTAATTGGTAAACTTCGTTTTAGAGGAACTGGATGATAACTGTCAATAGATAATATTGTACTTTTGGTTTTCGAAATACTGTTGTATGTAATGACTCATTGATCTTCGTTATTTTAACATCCAAAAAGTGTATCGAATCACGATTTTTTTTCCATTGACAATTTAATTGACGGCATCTTTGAATTGATGAATGTCAGGAACATATCCAATTCTTGTTCAGATCCTGACCAAATCATAAAACAATCATCAATGTATCTCATCCAAATCTTAATACTGGAATGAAACGGATTGCTATTATAGACATGATCCTGTTCAAATTTACCCATAAAGAAATTAGCATAATTTGGTGCTATTGGAGTACCCATCGCTGTACCCTGAACTTGTAAATAAAAATCTTTCTCAAACAAAAAATAATTCTTGGTCAAAACTAATGTTGTAAGGTCCACTATATATTGTGATGGTATTCTCGTATTTTCAACTTTACAGTAGCAACGATTCACTCCCGGAGACAACTGATCGCACTGGAGGATCTTCTCGTGATTTGTGAATTTTAGGTAAAGCATATAAAACTGGAATCCTAAGATATTGATTTTTTAAAAATATTGTAATTCTTGTTCATTAATCCATTTCCTATCAAATCCCATTTGTAAAATGTCATTAATTAGTTTTTTATAGGACTCACTGGGGTTAAACATACGCTTTTTTATAAAATGTCTTATCATATAACATCATTTTTATTTTCTCAATGTATATATTAGAATTCATAACGACAATTCCTCCACCTTTATCGGCCCACTGAATAGTTAAAGTCGAATCATTCATTAATGCTGATAAAGCTTCTTTTTTTATTTTTTTTAAATTTTGTGTCCTGTACAATTCATTCCGAGGCTTCTTTGACCATTTTTCCACATCGTTTTCTACATGTCTACAAAAAGTGTTTACTGAATGATTTTGAACCATTGGCGTAAAAGTAGGCTACT